TTGATAGGTGAGCCCATAGGTGTCGCCACGCCGTAACCATTGGAGTTGAGATTCTGACCAATCTTCATAGTGTCACAAGGGAGCTGCTCGTTGATGTAGTCGTTCTTAACACTCTCCAGCAGGTAGGCGTACTTGCCCTTCGAGGTTCTTACGCGTTCAATCCCTTCCTCGTAGGATTGCGTGAAAACGTGCTTTCGCGAAGTCATAAATTCCCACATGCGGTTGTAGATGCTGATTTTCGAGCGCTGGGAAGGGGAGAGAAAAGGAGGGAAAGTGAGCATTGTGAAAGTGAGTGAGAGTGAGTTCGGACGCCAGGCTTGTACCAAAGGGATTATACTGGTTGTGCGATGCAAAGGGGTGGAAAAAGATGATTTATTATATGGTGCTTTGCGGGGTGCTGTTTCATGTTGCAGCGGAAATATTGCAAAGAATGTTAAGCATGTAAGGGGAATGTCCATATCATACTTTGTAAAGAATCATTAAATGTAAATACTTACATACATGCTTACACAAAAACACACACACATACACACACACACACACACACACACACACACACACACACAGATATATATATATATATATATATATATATATATATATATATATATATATATATATATATATATATATATATATATATATGTATGTATGTATCTATACATACACACATATATACTTATATATACATATATGCATATATGAATGAATATATATATATACATATATATATACATATATATGTATATATATATATATATATATATATATATATATATATATATATATATATATATATATATATATATATATATATATATATATATATATATTCAATCAATTCCATACACCACAAGGTCTTTACAACCTAAAAACGCTTCAGGACATCAATTCCATCCAAGTTACTCTTTACTTTCCTCTTTACCCAAACTCCGCAAGGTTCTGTTACTTAGTTCCTTGTACAGCATTCCCCTTCCTAGACACAGTCCGGGCATAAGTACCGGGAATTCCAACAAGTAAATATTGATTCCTGGCTTGACGGTCTATGCCTTACATTTCTCTCGGGAATGGCGGATCTCAGGGGAAAAAAAACGTGCTATACTATAATTCCATATCTTTTCTTCATGTGTTCCCTCTTATTAACCATGGGACAAGGGGGTAATTACAGAGTGGTCTAGAAGAAAAGTGAGATGGAAAGAAATGGAGTGAGAGAGAGAGAGAGAGAGAGAGGGAGAGAGATAGATAGAGAGACAGACAGACATACACACACACACACAGACACACACACACAGGCAGATAGATAGATCGTCAGACAGAAGTAGATATAGCGAGAAAGAGAGAGAGAGAGAGAGAGAGAGAGAGAGAGAGAGAGAGAGAGAGAGAGAGTCAGAACATGATAGACGAATGAATATGGAAATGATATAAAGGTGTAATATTAAGAACAGCTAGGAACATACATACATATATATATATATATATATATATATATATATATATATATATATATATATATATATATATATATATATATATATATATATATATATGATACAGAAATAACAAGAAGAAGTTCCTGCGAGTGCTTCAGTGATTGCAGCCGCAGTTTTACACATTTCACGCAGTGCACGAGGTCTTAACACCGTTTTCCTAAACTTTTTTTCCTCAAGTTTTGCAATAAACTTTTTCAGCACACATTTCTGTTCTACTTACCCCGGTAATCTGCCTCGGTATTATTTTGCTGGAGTTTACCTTGGGGATTCCCCTGTTTCGCTTTACAGTTCAACTTCGCCTTGAAATTCCCAGATCAATTGTCAGCGCTCGAGCTCGGCTGAAGGCCAGTGATACAGGCTCTCGATGGAAGCTCTCGATAAAGGAATAATGGACGATGATGAGAGAAAGAGAAAAGAAGGAAAGGAAGAAGAGACTGGTTTCATTCTTCGTTGCTTGTGTTTATTTATTCATGTTATTCCCGAGAATTTCCTTCTCCTCTCTTTTTCGTTAACTTTTATTTTTTTTACCCGGGGTTTATTTTTTTTTATCTTTAGATAATTTTCCCCATATTTTCTTTGTGGTATTTTCCCTTCTTCTTCTGCTTTTTCTTTTGGATTTTTTATCTCTTTTTTAGTAAGCTTATCTTTGGGGATTTGTCTTTCCTTTCCCACAACTTTTATTCCTTTTTTTTTCCCAGGATTTTCTTTTTTTTATTCTATGTCTTTATCCACTCATGTTCCTTTTTGCCTTGAACTTTTTTTTTTACCTTCTAAGAGCGGAAGACCCAAGGTGGAATAGGCCTCGATGAGACCTACTAGACCTAAGGAGAGGCTGGTTCTCCCCCCACCCCCACCCCCCCGCCCATTAAACTTCCCGAAAGTCTTCGCTGATAAACATCCCATCTTCAATTTCTTTGGGGGAAAATTCCGTAGTATAATGCGATTTATCTCCCTCAGTAACTTTCCTTAACGAAATTTCTATAGGCAGGAAGCCCTTTGCATCAGTTCTCCGGCGTAAAAGAAATATGGACTTGAACTACTACTGTGTATACACCTCTATTCCGTTTATTTTCCCGCGGGTTTCGAAATGCATCGAGCTTCCTTTGCGAGAGATGCGTTGGGATTAATACCGCTTTGCTTTTCCTTCAAGGTGGTTATTATCAGTTTCGTATTTTCTCCCTGCTCTTCTTTATTCTTTTTTTCTCTCTTCTCGCTTCTTCGTTTTCATCTGCAAACTTCCTAATATTGCTTCTGCCTCATCTTATCATTTATTTCTTCTTCTTCTCCTTCTTCTTCTTCTTCTTCTCCTTCTTCTTCTTCTTCTTCTTCTTCTTCTTCTTCTTCCGTTACTGCTATTATGATAAATAGTTTTATTTCTGTTGCTACTTCTTTCCCTATCTTCTTTTTCCCGTCTGTCCTCCTCGCCGTTCTTTTTCTTCTTTTTTCTTTCTAACTCTTCATGTTGTATTTCTTTTTCTTTCTTTCTTGTTAATTTCATCCTTATTGGCTTTGTTATTTTTATTATTATGGGCATGTAGAATTTTGTTGCCCGTACAAAAGCATAAAAACAGTATTTAACAAGTTCCATTCATTTATTATTCTCTCTCTCTCATTCCCTCTTATTCCCTGACTTCCTCTCCTCCTCCTTCACCTTTTTTTTCTCCTTCTCTTTCTAGTCCTCCTCCTTCTCCTTCTTCTCCCCCTCCCCCCCTTACTCTCCCCTCTCCCTCCCACCTCCCCTCCCACCTTCCCCACTCACACTCCCTCTCCCCTAAGTCACGCTCGCACGCCAGACGCCAAGGGCTCTCACTTTCACGGTGTCCTCACTCACACTCGCCTCCCTCTCGCCATCACTTCCACGGGCGTTCAGTCACCTTCAGCCCTATTCTTGAGGCAGCGCAGGGCGTCGTATACTTACCTTCCATATTGCTTGTGGCCCGAGGGAGGCGTCTTGCCTTACTCTTTTTTTATTATTCTTTGATTAGTGTTGATGACTTTTGCGTACGTTTGCGGTATGTGTATGTATGTATGTATGTATGTATGCATGTGTACAGATATGTGTATATATTTGAGTGTAGAAAAGGTATGAATGAGAATGAATATTTTCACAATGCATATATATATATATATATATATATATATATATATATATATATATATATATATATATATATATATATATATATATACTTATGTATATGTACACACACACACACACACACACACACACACACACACACACACACACACACACATATATATATATATATATATATATATATATATATATATATATATATATATATATATATGACCACTCTGAGACCGCTCGGCAGCTGTTTCAAAGTGGTCAGATGCATTCAATGTCACGCCCTCCAACTAGCAAGGGTGACCAATGAAGCCCCCCCTACCCCCTTTGCTGGGCCCACTCACTGCCTGGGTGGCTACTTCTGCACAAGCTCACCACTTCAACCTCCGTCTACACTTCGCTAACATTAACATTCATCTCCAATGAACAGTGCAACCAGACTGTGAGTTTTCGTCAACCAAGACAAACCCCGGCAGATTGGTGTCAGCAGCGCAATCCCAGGAACTCTCACAGAGTGATGGTCAGCAGTGATATCAAGAACCTTACTGGGAGAGAGAGAGAGAGAGAGAGAGAGAGAGAGAGAGAGAGAGAGAGAGAGAGAGAGAGAGAGAGAGAGAGAGAGAGAGAGAGAGAGAGAGAGAAAAGAGAGAGAGAGAGAGAGAGAGAAAGAGGGAGGGAGGGAGGGAGGGGGAGTGGAGGAGGGGGGAGGGAGGGAGGAAGAGATGGAGAGAGAGAGAGAGAGACAGACAGACAGACAGATAGACAGAGAAAGCGACAGACAATAAGACACACACACACACACACACACATACACACACACACACACACACACACACACACACACACACAGACGAATAAGACAATAAGATAGAGAGAGAGACAGAAGGAGACACGACGAGAAAAACTGCAGATTAGCTGAAAGAAAGACAAAGAGCGAAAGACTGAAAGATGGATAGAATAGATAGATAGGTAGATGGATAGGAGACAGTAGATAGATCTTTAGATTGATAGATAGATACACAGCCGCAGACACATGTATTATGCCTAACATATAATAAAAAAAAACATACAAACACACCCAGATACATAACACAAAAACACCAGAAACACAAACTCGTAAACACCCACACACATAAACACATACACATAAATTAAAGACGCACAAACAATAACCAAAAAAGGAAAGAGAAAGAAAAAAAGAAACACACACACACACCTACACCCATGCACTCACATTTCCAAAGAATGCCCACTAAATTGAAATAGAAATACACGAAACTGGAAATGTGGAGGTATGTGTGGAGTGTAACCAAAGAATGTGAAACCTCAACTTTATGACTGGGGTGTGTGAGCGTCGGATACGAGCGAAATTTTCGTACGCTGGAGGTATCCCTCTCCAGACGTCGTGGAGACAATTCGAGAGACGTGGCTTGAGAGGGGAGGCCGTGGGGGGGGGGGGGTGAGAGGAATGGAAGAGGGGGAGGGGATGGGAGGTATAGAGATGGAGGAGGAGAGGGGAGGCCGTGGGGGGGGGAGGGAGATGGAAGATGGGTGAGAGGAGGGGTAGAGGGAAGTGGATAGGGAGGAACAGAAATGGAGGAGGGATGAGAGAAATGGAAGAAGGGGAGGGGAAGGGTGGAAGATAGATGGAGGAGAAGAGGGAAGG